GAGCTGCTGCTGGACGTTTGGTACCTTTGGCCACGGGGCACTTCCTTTGGAGAAGAAAAAGACATTGACAAGTTAACAGAGATTTCTCCGAGAAAAATCAAAGCCATTTCCCACAGACTCTACCCCTCTCACACAGGCACTCCTTTCATTTTTCATGAGACCTTCCTTCAACTCTATGGCTGGAGTCCTGGTTTATATTGGCCTCATGTGTGATGAGGAGCAGGGCTCTGCCCAGGGGATCTTGGTCTGTCAGCCCTGCTCTGCAGGCCTCGGTGGGGGCCAGGACCCCTCCTGGGATTTGACTTCATCTTTTGAAACCACTCTGCAAGCAGAAGGGCAGGCCATCTTCTGCAAGGGGATGGAGAAGGCTCTTTAAGAGTTCTGGGATTCTTTACAGCTCCCTCCACCTCCCCTGTAGAGTATTTTGGGATATCAAAAACGCGCAGCATTTCTGATGTTCTCAGGAAGAACAGAGCGAGTCCTGCGAGACAAGAGGATTGTCTGGGACTTAGAGAAGAGGGAGGGGAACTGCTCTGTCCCTTTCTCTAGTTCCCAGTTTCTCTGACCATTCACCTTGCTGCAGTGGAGGGTGATCACTTTTCCATATTTTACTGAAAAGTCACCAGACAAAGCTGAGAGCAGTGGGGTCAAGTGCAGACCAAGGTCTCAGCACCCCCACATCTAGCCCAGGACACACATGGCTTATTTCATCAATCTATCAGCATTTATTTCCCAACCTGTAGCATGTCTGCACTTCCCCTCAGGGTGTTGAGACAAGGCAATAATTCCATAGGACAGCTTTGCACCCTGGAGGGCAGCTCACAGCTTGGAAGGAAGCATCCACGAAACAGTCAGGTGCCCTAACAGGCAGATTCAGCTCATGCTCTCGATCAGTTGAGTGCATTGCCCACAGCCCCATGGGTGGGAGTAAAGTTGGGACACTTGTTCCCGTGGACACACCTGCAGGAAAGGACGCACAAGATCCATGAGTGACTCTGCAGCGGAAACTCCCACCCCAGAGAGCCTGACAGCAAGAAGGGAAGAACAGTAGCGAGAGCACAGAGCAGTGGTGAAAGAAGGGAAACAGCGTGAGGGAGCAGCTGAGAGAGGCACGGGCAGAGACTGCCAGGCCCCCAGGACAGCGTGACCCTCCCCAGCTCTGAGCCCACCCCCCAAACACCCCCATGGCCGGGCAGCTGCTCTCAGTCCTGGGCTCTACAGAGGGATATGGGGCCTT